AAGGGTGATTTTCTTCAACTCTTCTTGCAAAATATGCCACAAATCGTTTTTATTTGCTGTTTTTTGGCCTACGACTTGTTTAAGAATTCCCCAGAAGTTCTCTATAGGGTTCAAGTCGGGGTTCTGCGGTGGCCATTGCAAAACATTGATTGTCTCTTGGCTAAGCCACGACTTGACTATCTTGCGTGTGTTCGGGTCGTTGTCCTGTTGAAATATCCAGGCAAGTGGCAAATTATCGGCATATTCTCCAGATAAATTGTTAAAAAGGATGTCCCTGTACATTTCGCCGTTCATAATGCCTTCTATCTTTACTAACGGTCTTCTTAGTGTATTTTTTGTTTGGAGCGACGAATCCAAGTTTAATGCCTTTGGGAGTGATGGTAAACCATATGTACAACGTCCTCCCAACAAAAAATTGGACCCCAAATATATATATATATCTTACAACAATTACCTGTCCAATGCCGTTTAAATGATTCGATGATGCATTTAGATGCCTATATATTTTTTTAATTGCAGCAATTTCTGCCTCCTCCTGGCTTCAAAACACGTAATTAAACACATAAAAAGCATTTTTAAATTTGTTTACTTTTGACCAAAATCACAAATCAGCTGTTTGAGCGTAAGAAACGATGAGAACACAAAACATTCCAATAGCAAAACGATAGCAGAAATTTGCCGAAAACCGGAGCAGCTTAAAACGAAAACGAGCGATTTCGCCCAACACGAAAACGAAAAAAATTGTACGACTACCGGAGCAGGCCTGTTTAAGATTTTTTGTATATAACGCCGCTTTCCCGATCACGGGCAACCGCTTTTTATATTTTTTACAGCATGTTAAAGTCAAAATTGCATTTTTCGGGATAAAATATTGACTTTAACATGCTGTAAAAAATATAAAAAGCGGTTTTCAACAACCGTTTTAGTTCAAATAGAAGAGAATTTAATTCTAAAGAGAATAAGCCTTCATTCGTTTCAATCGGTCAATTAGTTTTTTTGTTATCTTTCCCGCCAATTCGAAAGAATCGTAAAAATTAATAGTGGAGAAAACGCGCTTCAAAGTTCGCCAAGCGCCTGCAAACCTGCTGGGCGCTCCTTTGCTTTCATCTCTGTATCTTCGAAAATACTTCGAATTGGCTTCTGAAATTTTTGTGGTATATTCTTAGATAGTTTATCTATCTATTTAAGCAATAAAAAAAAAATGATTTTTTTGGCCACCTAATTCAGGAAACCCCCTTAAGCCACCTGGAAGAAAATGATTGAAAAAGTTAAAATTTGCCCAATATTCCTTATAATTTTAATAAATTTACTTTAATATTGAGTGGGATGACCTTTCTGCTTAAGAAAAGTGGATCAACGCTTTAGTATTGAACCCACAAGACGTGCGCACTGTTAAAGGGTGATTTTCTTCAACTCTTCTTGCAAAATATGCCACAAATCGTTTTTATTTGCTGTTTTTTTGGCCTACAACTTGTTTAAGAATTCCCCAGAAGTTCTCTATAGGGTTCAAGTCGGGGTTCTGCGGTGGCCATTGCAAAACATTGATTGTCTCTTGGTTAAGCCACGACTTGACTATCTTGCGTGTGTTCGGGTCGTTGTCCTGTTGAAATATCCAGGCAAGTGGCAAATTATCGGCATATTCTCCAGATAAATTGTTAAAAAGGATGTCCCTGTACATTTCGCCGTTCATAATGCCTTCTATCTTTACTAACGGTCTTCTTAGTGTATTTTTTGTTTGGAGCGACGAATCCAAGTTTAATGCCTTTGGGAGTGATGGTAAACCATATGTACAACGTCCTCCCAACAAAAAATTGGACCCCAAATATATATATATATCTTACAACAATTACCTGTCCAATGCCGTTTAAATGATTCGATGATGCATTTAGATGCCTATATATTTTTTTAATTGCAGCAATTTCTGCCTCCTCCTGGCTTCAAAACACGTAATTAAACACATAAAAAGCATTTTTAAATTTGTTTACTTTTGACCAAAATCACAAATCAGCTGTTTGAGCGTAAGAAACGATGAGAACACAAAACATTCCAATAGCAAAACGATAGCAGAAATTTGCCGAAAACCGGAGCAGCTTAAAACGAAAACGAGCGATTTCGCCCAAAACGAAAACGAAAAAAATTGTACGACTACCGGAGCAGGCCTGTTTAAGATTTTTTGTATATGACGCCGCTTGCCCGATCACGGGGATATGCCTTCTCAACACTCCGTTAACAGCCTCTTGAGTAGCGATAACAAGGACAACGTTGGTAGTAAACGTGTTCGTGTGGATAGAATGAATGTTTTATTCTGAAATATGTACATCAGTTGACTTAACCTATACAATTCTCTTATCTTACGTACCGCAGTTTCTCTTCCCTCTCTCTGTGATGGCGCAAATCGGCGTAACTCGATCCACCAAATTTAAGCTTGCCTTTACCTAAATCAGTGTGCCCTAATACATTTACACCGAAATCCTGAGACAATAAATACTGGCTCCTTGCGGCTTTAACTGAAACTTGACTAACTATCGATAGCCCTAATCCGTTCCGCAACATCCCCGCCCCCGTGAAGCAAAGCATTCACCACGTCCAGGACAGCTAGCTTCGAAGCGGGACGCATTGTCGTCTTGGCTCGATCGTTAGTCCGCACCGCTGCTCGACGAGGTACTCCGGTGAATACCTCTTCCACGACACCTCGTTTTCACTCTTCGTGGTATGGCCGGATCACATATGAACACCAGATCTCCTCGACGAATGGGCTCGACGTGCTGGCCCCATCCCTCCCTCCTTTTAACAGATCGTTGGGCGTCAGTGGTGCCTCCTGGTCAACCGTCACTGGTAGATGAGTGAGCGGACGAGAGTTCATTATGCTCTCCGCCACAATCAACAGGTTCTCCATTACGTGCTCCTTGGGTGCAAGCTCCTTCATAGTATGCGCCAAGACCTTCTAGACACACTGTATCATCCTTTCCCAGGCGCCACCCTCCGCTGGGTTCGCCGGGCAATTGAAGATCCATTCGACTCCTTTGGACGACAGCTCGCCTTGGGTCTTCGCAGTCTCAAATACTTCGCTGAACCTCTGGGCCTCTCGATTGGCCCCAACAAAGTTCTTCCCGTTGTCGCTCCTTATCCTGACCACCGGTCCACGGCGGCTCATGAAATTCCTCATAGCGCTTATACAGGAATCTGTAAATCGTGAGCCATCTCCAAGTGGATAGCCCTTGTGGTTAGACATGTAAACAATGCCACCCACCTTTTCTCAGAGCGACGTCCAATAGTCACAAATAGCGGTCCAAAATAATCCACTTAAACGGCCATCCGTTGGCCTCCAGCCGGTCCTCTGGCAGGGGACCCATTACAGGTTGCGCTGGGCGTGCCTTCCGTAGCTGGCAGACGTTGCAGTTGCTCACCACCTTGCATAGCAGCCTCCGTAAGTTCGTAATCCAGAACTTCTGCCGGATCGCTCCGATAGTTGCCTCCGTGTTTTGGTGGCACATCCTCTCGTGGTGATGCTGCACAATCATTTCCGCCAGTGCCTCCGTGTGAGTCAGTATGATCGGCCGTCGCGCGTTCTATGGCACACACGCCGCGTCGTCGATCCTTCCGCTGACTCGCATTACTCCGTCCTCGTCGAAGTATGGGGACAACCCGCACAGTCGGCTGCCCTTGGCGGCCTTTCCTTGGATGTCCTCAGCAAACGCTTCTCGCTGCGACTGCCTTATCAGTGCGCGCTCTGCCTCGGCGTACTCCATCGATGTCAGCCCGTGATCCTCTCGATCGCAACGTAGTCCACGGCATCATCGAATAAATCTGAGCACCCATGCGGTGCACCTCACCAGTCGGTTATAGCTCGAGAATCTCTGCACAGATATAATATTTGTCATGACCAGAGCAAATTCACATTTCATTTCCTCTTCATCTGGCGTCGGGGGAATCCAATCCTCACCCGATCTCGGCCAGCTTTCCTCCGGTCCTCGTAGGAATGTGGGACCGCTTAACCACTGCGACTCAATACTCAGGTCCACGCTCATGCGCGGCCTCGTCGCACAGTAGCGCCTTTTCTCATTTTACGTTGCAAAAATCATAACTTTTGAACAAAATAAGATAACTAAATAATTTAAACGCCATTTAATAGGTAATTGTTGTAAAATTTACATATGTATTGGAAAATCAGCCACGCCCACTCATTCGCCTTTTTAAAGGGTATCAAAGTAAAGAAATATTTTTTTCTCAATGAAGACAATTTTTTAAAAATATTTTTTATTTAATTTTTTATCCTTAATTTTATGTATTTGCTCAGATAAAAATAATTTGAAAACTGAAAAAAAAATTTTTTTTTATTTCAACGTGTAACCGTCACGCGCTACAGTTAGTATATTTTTTGGTTAGTATAAAGCTGAGTCGGTATTTTGGTATATTTAACCCTGAGTAGTTTTGGTTTATGCTGTTGCATTTCCGGGGACGCAGCTCGACGCAGCAGATGTAAGTTGATTTTGGTCCAGAATAGATCCACAAAGGTCGTAGTTATAGTGTGTATAGTGGCTCAGCCCATCCAAAAAAGATATAGACTACTTTAGCCAGAAAAAAATGAAAAAAAATGGACACCTGGCAGGTAACGATTTACCTGTGCAAGCCCTAACCCAATTCCCATTTTTTTTGATTGGGTAACAGTTTATGAATGTGTCTATTATTTAAAGCAAAAATCATGGCGATAGGTAATATAGTTCTTGTGTAATATTACCTGAAAGTCAACAAATTTTTCCGTTTTTTTTCTTATGATGCAAAAATTGAAACAAAGTTCAACTTTGAATGCTCATATCTTCTACAAAAAAAATCCGAAAATTGATTTTACAGCAGATTCTGAATCCATGGGAAATTTCCTGTCGAATAAGTATGGTTAAAATCGTTTTTGCGACAACGACTTTTTCGATTTTTGCAACGGCTGTTGTTCGAGAGGCGCTACTGTGCGTCGCGTCATCTGCCACGTTTTCGGCAGACGGGATCTATCTCCATTGGGACATCTCTGTGGATTCTAAGATTTCCGCCACCCGGTTTCCGACGAACTGTTTGTATCTCCGGTGGGTGCTGCTTATGCAGTGCAGCACAGTCTTAGAATCTGTCATTAGTACGCAGCCGCTGATCGCCACACCGTGCTCCTGCTTGAAGGTGCCCATCAGTCTTGTACCCAATACTGCTGCTTGAAGTTTCAGACGGGGAATCGACATTGTCCTCATCGGAGCGCACTTCGTCTTGGAGCATACGAAATGCGCCTGAACGTCTCTGCTCTCGTATGTGACCCGCCAATAGGCCGCTGCTGCGAACGCCGACTGGCTGGAATCCACGAAGATGTGCAGCTGTAGTGCCCGCACTCGTCCAGCGCCGAAATAGTAGCGTGGACATCGGAATTCTTCAATGTTCCTCATTCCTTGCCGCCAGCTCTCAAAGGCTGCGGCTAACTCTTCTGGTAACTGCTCGTCCCAACTGCTCGTCCCAGCATCAATATCTTGGCGGTGACCATATAGCAGTACCCAATCGGGTCAAACGTGGACATGACCAGGCTCAGGAACTCCCTCTTCGTGGGGACACGTTCCCCTGTCATCACGCTCCTTGGGACTCGATTGTATTTGACGCTGAACTTGAAGTCGTCTGTTGCTGGTTGCCAGTACATCCTAAGTACTTTCTCCTCAGCTTCGGTCCATCTGACGCTAGCGATAGATTCAAGTGGGTTCAACGCACTGACCACACTTGTCGAACTGGAAGTAAATCGACACAAATCAAAACCAGCATTTGCGTGTATTTCTCTCACCCGTGTCGAGACGGCGATGGCTTCTGTTTCACTGGCAAAACTGTCGATATAGTCGTCCACGTAGTGATACTCGTTGATCGCCAGGACAGCTCGCGGATCCGTGTTGCTGTACTGCGAAGCATTCACGGTCTTCACATAACCCGCCGAGCATGGTGAGCAGGCAACTCCGAACATCATCACCTGCATCTCATATATGTCGGGATCCCGACGATCGTTTCCGTTTCTCCACAGGAACCTCTGGGCGCATCTGTCCTGTGGTCGCATCAATACCTGATGAAACATCTCCTTGATGTCTGCGCAAACCCCAACTGCTCCTTCCCGGAAATGGAAGAGCACCTCTGGGAGGGGCTTGTAGCGCTGTGGGCCTTTCATCAGCGCCGAATTCAGTGATACGCCGTTCACCTTGGTAGCCGCGTCGAAGACCAGCCGGATTTTTCCCGGCTTGTTCGGGTTTTCCACCTCGAAGTGCGGCAGGTACCATACCTTGCCTTTCTGGGACCTCCGGACTTCCTGGGGCTCCAGTCGTCGTGCGTAGCCTTTCTTTACGTAATCATCCAAATTCCGTTGTAGGCCCGCGCGAAGTCCACATCGCGCTTAATTTTCCGTTCAATGTTGACGAGTCTCTTGAGTGCCATACTGTAGCTCTCTGGCAGTCTCACCTCGTCGTCCCTCCATAGCAGCCCGGTCTCATCGTTGGCCTACTCACTTAGTCGTCTCCTCCAGGATACTCAGGGCCTGTGTGACGCCGTCATCTGCGATTGACGCCGGTTTCACTCCGCCAGCTGCGACTGGCTGTGCCGGCTTCACTCCGAAATTCTCGATCTCGAAATAATCGCTGACCATCTTCTCCAGAATCTGTGAAGCGGTGAACACGCCTTTCCTTTCACCGGTCCATATACCGCCCATCCAAGTGCGGTGGCTGCTGCCTATGGCCGTCCAGATCCGTAGCTTCTGGTTCTGAGGGGTATTCCAAGATGCGCATTATCCAATCCAATTAGGATCCTTGGCGCCGCATTTTGTACGGCCTTACAGGCAGGCGCGCATTCGCCTTCACTGCCTTCACATCTTCCCGACGCAAGCTCTGCATCGGAAGTTTCAAATTGGCTACTCCGAAAACGTTCATTAGCCCATGTCGCTTGGGTTTGCCCGCTGCACTGATCTGCAGGCTAACCATCCTTGTATGCTCTTTGGCGGACTTTCCGCCAAACCACTGCACATTCAGTTGTCGACTCTCACCTTTTAGGTTCAGGCTGCGGATAAGTTCGTTGTCGATGAGCGTGACAGACGACCCTTCATCCAGCAGTGCGTAGGTGTCTACCTGCGTATTCTCCCCGTACAACGTCACGGGCAAAATAATGGAACAGCAGGTGACCTCCATCCGAATCAACATAACTCAAGTTCCGGTGCGATAAATCCTGGCGATCGCATGTCGAGCGCCTCTCATCCTCCTCACGTCCCGCGTCTAAAACTGCGGCTGGCGTAGGCCGGGTATTCTCGATGGAATCCACTGACTGTGGCATTCGTATCCGTCGGCCGCTGTCTCTGTACAGCTGCCGGTCTTGACTGCTCTGCTGATCCATCCTGCGGCGTCATCTGCGACTGGCGGCCGTCTAGGATGTCCAGCTGGTTCATGGAGTAGGTAGTGATGCCTCATCCGACATCCGTAGACGTTGCATTCCCGGCCCTTATTGCAGAACCGGGCCATGTGTCCATACTCCAGACACGAAAAACATAACCTCAACTTCCTCGCGGACTCGATCCGCATCGTCGAAGAAGCGTGGTTGAATTCCTTGCAATCCTCGATCTCGTGTTGTCCCTTACACATGGGGCAACGTTTGGGGCGGTCTGCATACCGCTCCTTCTCGCGAACACTATTCGCGTGCAAACCCTTCGCTTCGTCGCTTCCTTGATTCCGACGTCCGTGACAGTGCACACCAATTTAGCGAATTCATGAAGCCACTCGCCCAGGTGCACCACTGTCGGGTATGGCTGTATCGTAGTCGCGTGCTTCGACCAGTCCAGCCTTTTGCTCACAGGCAACTTGGCGACCAGCTCCTCCATCAGGATTGGGTTACCCAAGTGTTGGTTGCCGGTCGTGGTGGACTGCAGGAACGCTGCCAGGTTGCTCACCCTTTTGGCGAACGGCACGATCCTTGTGATGTTAGCCTCCATGATTGGCTGCCCATCGCGCACGCTCTCCAATTGACTACGGATCAGTAGCTCTGGACGTCCATACCGGAATCGTAGCTGCTCTATGACAGCTTGCACATTTCTGGGGTGGATGAGCAGCGACTTCACTGCTGCTCTGGCCTCACCTTTCAGGGCTTTCACTAGCCTCTGGTTATTCTCCAATTCTGTACACTGTTAAGCTGCCGTTGTCTCCGTGAACGCACACAGGAATATTGGCCATTAGAGCTGGGAAAAAATCGATTCTCAGCGAATTGATTTTTTTCGATTTTTTTGAAAATAAAATCGATTAAATCGATTACATCGAAAACAAAACTTTTTTATTTTTTACTTCAAATAAATTTAGAAAAAACCAAAACTTAAATTTATTTACATAATCATTCTTAAACAATAAACCAAAAATGTATTCATAATAAATCAAATAAATTTTTCTGGCCATAACCAGTGATTAATTGATTTTAATTTTTTTTAAGAAAATATTTGGTTTCTTATTTTATGAATCTTTATTTTAAATAAAATTATTTATTTTAAATAAAATTATTCAAAGCCTTTAAATTAAATAAAAATATTTAAAATAAAGGTTCATAAAATAAGAAACAAAATATTTTCATAATATAAAAACAAAAAATCAAAATCAATTATTTACTGGTTATTTCCAGTTAAATTAAATTAAATTAAATGGGATCAATTCAATGAGATCACAAAAAACAGAAGAAAATATTTTCAAATTATAAAAATGAAAATAAATATCAAAATTCTAGACTAGCCACTGGTTTTTGTTGGTAAAAACGAGCTTATTTAAAGTTTTGGGTTTTAAAGCGGCACATCTATCGGTTATAATACATCCAGCCTTACTAAATACTCGCTCTGCTTCTGTTGAGCTAGCTGAAACGCACAGATTCTTTCTAAACCGAATCGATGCATCGACCAAAAAGAAAGAATCGATTTAATCGATGTTGACATCGATTTTTTCCCAGCTCTATTGGCCATTCCTCTGGCTGACCTTCAAACTCGGGAAGATCAGGCAATCTACGTGCCGTCCACCCAGGTATGCTCGTTGTCGCCGCTCCATATGATAGGGGCGATGGCGCTGATACCTCCAAATTGTATTTTGGCTCCCGTGGCGGGTGAACATAACCTAGGCTGCGCCGTGGCGGTAATACAAAATAGCGGAGAATAACTCACTGTTGTTGTAGAGGTCCGTTTGACAGGTTGCCCGTTCGCCCAATGGCCGCCGGGCGTCGGCGCCAATTTTCCACTCAATTGTGGCGGCAAATTTGCACTCAATTGTGCCGTCAACTGCTCATCCCAAGATGGCGTCACTTTAAGCTCTGGTTGCAGATTGTCACTCATCTGCCTGGCAGCTTCTCACTCGAACCCTGCCGTGGTGCTGCTCTCATACTTCACTGGCAGATTTCCATTCGTGGAGTCTGTAATCTGTCCCGTTGCTGTGGGCCGCAGATTACTTGCCGCTTCTCTGGCAGCCTTTCCACTCAAACATGGCGGTGTATTCGCCGCACCGCCCACTCCAACGCCGCGTGTCCCGATTCTAACGGGATCCCTGGCGGCCTCTGCTTGCCCTTCATTTGCCCTTGCCTTTACCAGCTCCGACTCTAGATGTGCGATCCTTTCCACTAAGGCCGCCACTTGTACAGTCGTGGAGTCCGTAATCTGCCCCGTTGCTGCGGGCTGCAGATTACTTGCCGCTTCACTGGCAGCTTTTCCACTTTCCTTCGGAGTCTGCGGCCGCTGTCGATCACCAGCCGCACTCGCAGAGCTGACCGCTTTGCCAGTTGCTGTGGTCGTGGGTGTCGCAGTTGTGGGAGCATCCGAGACTTCCAGTCTGGGGCTCCGCCGGGGCGAATGCTATGTAGACATCTCACAGAGTGCGAATAAAAGAAAATGACGCCGCCTGCCCGATCACGGGGATATGCCTTCTTAACACTCCGTTAACCGCCTCTTGAGTAGCGATAACAAGGACAACGTTGGTTAAAACGGTGTTGGTGTGGATAGAATGAATGTTTTATTCTGAAATATGTACATCAGTTGACTTAACCTGAAATACAATTCTCTTATCTTACGTACCGCAGTTTCTCTTCCCTCTCTCTGTCATGGCGCAAATCGGTGTAACTTGATCCGCCAAATTTAAGCTTGCCTCTTTTTAAATCAGTGTGCCCTAATACATTTACTTCGAAATCCTGACACAATAAATACTGACTCCTTGCGGCTCTAACTGAAACTTCACTAACTATCGATAGCCCTAATCCGATCCGCGAAAGTATATTATAAGTCTTTTAATATTTTCTGTTTATTTTCAGCACCAGAGCGATATAAAATGTTCACAATTAACAAGAAATTTTACGAATAGGTTGAAACGTGATTCTGTTAACCGTTTACGTAAAGTAAGAAATCCAATTACAGCCGAAATGCCTCCACCTTTTCCCAACGGTTGGTATGGTATTCTAGAATCGTCCCAGCTCGGAGACGGACAGGCTACATTTTTGTCTTGTTTAGGGGAACATCTGGTAGTTTTTCGCACTAAAACCCATAAGGTATATATTTTAGATGCTTATTGTCCGCACTTAGGAGCGAATTTGGGACTTGGGGGGCGCGTTGTAGACGACTGTATTGAATGCCCTTTTCATCAATGGAGTTTTCGAGGCACAGATGGTGTCTGCATGAACATTCCGTACAGTAAATCAGGTAAGTAATGCCGTTATTATAAAAGTTGATTTTAAGCTATGTAGTAAAATATAATCCAAACACGTCCCACTTGCATTTTCATAATGCTCAAACTGTAAAGGCTCATGGGTTTTTAAATATATCTTTTTTAATTGCAAGACGTTGATGCACTACGTACGGAACGTATCAAGTGGAACTTGCGATACCAAGCACGCGCTTGTTCGTGTTAGGTGTGCGACGAAACTACTACCAGCGTGCTGCCGGATTGGTCGCTGTAGTAGCCAGCCAGCTAGTCAGCTCGCCCTTGTCTTTCTGTATCAACCAGACTAGGATCGTTGGTTGCCCGTCAGGGCTCCCTGGCCTGTGTTCACCGGGTGTAACGCTTGGTCATAGAGCCCAGTGGCGCTACCTAGTAGTGGATTGGTGGGCAGGCAAGCGACCTCTAGCGGGCGGGCAATGGAAAGCAAGGCAACCTAAGAGAAAGTTTTAGGGACAAGTTTCCGCCGTTCGGCTGAGGAGCTCTCGACGTCGGAAAGGGCGATCGGCTGGCGCTTGAGGAAATGAGTAGGGAGCAACTATTACCTCTTTTGCTGCGACCAAAGGCGGTTGGATTCAGCTCCGAAGAAGATTCTAAGGGATTTTTCATCAGCGACCCAATTGTGATTTTTTTTACACGCTGGTAAGACGCAAAAGGGCACAAAAACAGAAAATAGCGATGTAATCAAATGTTTAAACGCTCAGGAAAAACCTGCGGGTTTTTTCGGCGCCAATTCGAGAGACGGCAACCAGCATCACCATAAGGGAGAGGTGGATAAAGTTCACCTCTCCGCCCGTATTGGCCACCAAGACACTCCAGCTTCTCGGAGTTAGCGGCGCCTTCTTTTGATCGATTTTTTCTTTTTGTTAGTGGAACGCTCGGATAGGATGTGATTAGCTTTTTTTATTTAATTCGGGCTGCCACCAGATGACATGCACCCTCAACGCCAGATATAAATCTTTCTGTTCCTATAAATGCCCGGTTCCATTCCGGCTCATCCCTTCTTAAAAGAGTCACCTTAGTGGCAGCAGCAGCGGCAGCAGAAAATTTATTTACAATTAGGAATTTTTAAACTATATGTCGGAGGGTCGTTTAACTGGTCCATTTTATCTGAATAAGTTCTCAGCAGCAAGTTCTGTTCGTCTTCGAAGCGTTTTCTAAACTGTCTTCCAAAAAGTCTACTTTCGACCTTTCTACTTTCACTCAATTCACTCATTTCATAATCATTGTTGTCGTCTCTTTCTAACCTGTATGTCAGCGCTTCACGAACAGACCTCACTCGGCAGCAGTCTATATCTATCCTGCTCTGCCGTGCTTTCACTCAATTCAGAAAGGCCCTGCTCCGTATTTCAGAAAGGCCCTGCTCCGTATTTCAAAAGGCCCTGCTCCATATTTCAGAAGGCCCCGCTTCACCTATACTGACCATAGGAATAAAGTAGGCCCTGTTTTATGTGATCCGACACGGCCTTCCTGACAAATCACACGTCCTCGTGTGTTAACTTTAAATCACAGTATTCTCAAATTTCAGTACTCGTTACATTTTATTGTCAACAAACATTTCATTAATTTTCTAAACATAAGTATTGAGGCATTTAGACAAAATAAGCATCTTGGTTTCATGATAACATAACAAATTACATCTTCATTTTAATCATAATTTACAATTCAGACTTCTCTAATTACATAGCTTTATCAACTGGTGTATTTCCTTTTACACCCACATACTGACCCCCGCCATAACAATTCCTTCTGTTATGGTGCGGTCTCCACTGACCCCCGCCATAACAATTCCTTCTGTTATGGTGCGGTCTCCACTGACCCCCGCCATAACAATTCCTTCTGTTATGGTGCGGTCTCCACTGACCCCCGCCATGACAATTCCTTCTGTTATGGTGCGGTCATTATATCCCCTCTTGGGATTCCAAGGCATCAACCGTGCCATCCATATCATCATTCCCCACATGGGAATCACACGCATCTCCACTTGAGTCGTCTAAATCTTTAATCAACTTTAATCTTTAATCAATCAACGTCATTGCTTATTTTGTCTATTTGGCTATGCCCTCAAAAACTCATGCGCATACTTATAAAAGTTCGCTTACTTGACAGATATCTCAAAACATATCAGCCACCATCAAGCTTTTCTATAAACTCTGTTTGGTGCCGATCTTCATTTTTATTTTCCATCTTCATTTCTTTCTCTTTTCTCTCTCATTTTTAACATATTTTCCATTTTCATTTTTCATTTTAAATTAATCTTGCCTTATCAAAATTAGTGCTCTTCCGAACCAGCATAACGTAACTTTAAATTTCTCTTTCTTTATACTTTTCTCTGTGTCATGTGGTGGTATCAAGCCCAAAGGGTGGGTCCGATTGGCATCTCTTAAGGGCTTGCATTGGTTGCACTACTAACTGTGCAGTTCGCCGCAAGTTGCACCCCGCCAAGAGCATCTTGCCATCACCTCTGCGGTCCTGGTATCCAGCCAGATGACTACTTTACAGCTTTACACATGATACAATTTTCAACAATCTTTAAACTTAGTCATTTCCAACAATTCTGATAAATATTGCTGAGTCTATTTTTTCCAACCCAAACACATAACGGATTTATAACCTTGATTAATAACTATCCAACAAAATTAAAGGACACTACTGGCAGACAACATTATCTCACACCTCTGTGTATTTTTAAGAACCCCCCTTCATAGCTCAATTTAATTTCAATTATTTTGAGTTGTTTATAAACTATATCAATCAATCCTGAATCCTGACTCTGATCATTCAGTTATTAGATTTCCATTCTAAGTTCAGACGTTTTTCTGTCGCTTTATTTTTACTTATTGGAATTTAAATCAGTCACGTGAATTCTGGACACAAAAAGAAATCCACATTTGCCTTGCGCTTTTTCTTCCTCCATTCTATGTTGCACTTCAGTTAATTTGTTTTTGAAATCATTACAATTACAATAGGTATAGATTACGAACTCTCATTTGAGCAAATAATACCACAATGTTAGAATAATTGTAAGTCAGCCAATATTTCCAATTCATATAAATGCCATTTGGACTCCACATCGTATATAGTTCCACCCATACACTCCACTAACATAAGTGTCTCCATTAATTAAGTGTATTAGCATTGCACAATATCCACAAGAGCTTACATCTAATATTAAAAACGTTCGTTCCAATTTCTAAAAATCGTCATTTCACTTAAAGATACTTGAAGCCGAGGAATATGTCTCATGATCTGAGAAAATCGAGGCACACGTTTTTGAAAATAAGGCACCAATTCAATAAATGGTCTTACGACGGTCTCTTAATTGCACCGATTAAAAGGACGGACCTTTAACGTAAGGATTTTCTAGGAATTGGGTCTGATTTCTCCACCGCACACCTCATAGCTCAGATACTGCGTAGTAGGTTCAAGAAACCCACATTTGGTAACGTTAAATGACAACCCTGGTACAGTCAACACATTTAATACAACTTTCAGCCTTCGGAAAGCCTTTTCTTCCGAGTTTGCCATGATTAACACGTCATCTATGTAAACTATCGCAAATAATCATGATAAATTCCAAACGCCTTAACAATTGCATGATGAAGGTAGAAGACGCACTCTTCAAACCAAACGGCACGGCAGACCAAACAGACGGCAACTCGTAATTTTTTTAATTAATTATTTTTCAACAGAAACATTTTTCCTTCACAGGGTCTGACATAAGCGGCAAAGGCCACTGTCCGAAACCATTTTCGAATATTGCTTCCGATAGTCTAAGCACAACCTATCGTAGCACAGGGCTCGCCAATGGGAAGGCAGATGGGCAAACAACACTGCAATCAAACACATCTCTATTCCCATCTTTTAGCCAATTTAGCTCCCAAATCAAAGAATAATTGGAAAGGGCTCACCCGATACTGTCACTGTTGAATCACACAAATCAGCTCGCTTCTACATGCAGCTGCCTTCAAGCGCCTTGCTTAAAGTCATCACCAGACCGCTACCCTCTAGAACGTGGTCTGCAAATATGAGATCGACTGTAGTACACCAGGCGGAGGCGTCTGCTCCGGCACCATCGGGATTAAATTTGGGCAAGGTGACATGCGTAGCCTTATCGCCGTCTGCCGAAGTCCTTGGTGTCTGCATAGACTTAATTAACTCCATCAGGGTCCTGTTCTGGGCTTCCAACGCTGCCATATATTGTCCAGGAGTATTGTCTGTAGGCGAAGCGAATCCCACTTCTGATGTCGGAGGGTCGTTTAACTGGTCCATTTTATCTGAATAAGTTCTCAGCAGCAAGTTCTGTTCGTCTTCGAAGCGTTTTCTAAACTGTCTTCCAAAAAGTCTACTTTCGACCTTTCTACTTTCACTCAATTCACTCATTTCATAATCATTGTTGTCGTCTCTTTCTAACCTGTATGTCAGCGCTTCACGAACAGACCTCACTCGGCAGCAGTCTATATCTATCCTGCTCTGCCGTGCTTTCACTCAATTCAGAAAGGCCCTGCTCCGTATTTCAGAAAGGCCCTGCTCCGTATTTCAAAAGGCCCTGCTCCATATTTCAGAAGGCCCCGCTTCACCTATACTGACCATAGGAATAAAGTAGGCCCTGTTTTATGTGATCCGACATATATATTTGTTTAGTGTTTGTAGAGTTAAATATGTTAGTTTAGTAGCAGTAAAAAGAAAAAGGAAAAGGAAAAGTGAAGCAAAGTAGAGGCGGGATCCATGTGGATCCATGTGGACCTAATTTAGACAAAAATATAACTTAGAGTTCCCAGAGCCGAAGATTTGGCAAAAGTGATTTTTGTTTACTCCTTACAGCGATGCTCACGGATCTACGCGGGAAAGCGCTTTCTTCGCCGGATTAAAGGAATCAGAGTGAGTTAACACCAGTGCATTGGCACATTTGACAGATCATCGGGCGAGATTTCAGTGGGAAAAAATATCAAAAGTGGAAAATATGAAGACGCGAGTTCAATTC